ATGGAAGGCTTTTCTGCTCTGAGCTCAAGTTCATTACTGCCCCAAATTCATTAAATGATTACTCATCAAATGTCAGTGGAAATACCTTAGATGGTGTTCCTCTTCTATCTCAAAACACATGTCAGTGTTTGTATCAATGAGGGAAAAACAGGTTGGCACTTGACTCAGACAGATTCAAGCCATATTACAGTATTTACAGTGGCCAACACCCCTTGGTCCAGAAAGGTGCTTTTTTTTTTTTACAGTTTATTTTTATTTTATTTTGTATTAGTTTCAGGTGAACAGCTTAGTGGCCAATCATATACTTTACATAGTGTTCCCCTTGGTATTTCCAGTACCCTAATTGGCACAAAAAAGGTGTTTTTAAATAATCTAATTAATAGGAGGCACTCCATTTTGGACATTTTCAGAAAGGGTAAAACATTTCTCCTCCTCCCAATGCCTGCCTCCCCTCCCCACGCCTAACTGAGAAATCTGATTGCTAGTGGTTCAGGTCTTCCAGATGATCTATTTGCCAACATCCCCTCCTTGTCCGATGGTACTTCATCTTGTCATCATTTGTAAATGCCCTTCACTCTACTAACACCCTAAATCCAGACAGATCAAAAGAACTAAGGTTCAAAATGTCAAAGGTTATTTTTTATAATGGGTTTAATGGGGGACTATTGACACCTTCAAGGTTGACCAGACCGAATAATCCTGAAGAAACAAATGCACAGAATTCATGTAGGAAATGTCAGCTAACACACCACTAACAGACCAGTAATGTCTGCCATCCAATCTCTTCCCAAGAAGAAACAAGTTACTTCCCTTTCTTGCGGGTGTGTCTATTTTCACAGAACAGACCGAGTTCAGAACAGCCTCAAACACAACGTCTGGGTCAAGGCAATCAGCAGACACGGTCTTCCCTTTGGGGTGAGAGGCCCATAGTCCTCCATGTGAGAAAGGCCAGTGGTCCCACGTTGCTCTTTAAGGACAGAGCCGTCTTAACCTTAAAGACAAGCCTTGCCCACTGGTCACATATGGCCACATATTGGACCTTTGGCACAAAGGGCACCAAGTTTAAAGGCACCTGTCTGAGTGACTGCACATAGCAGGTCCTCAAACATGGCCGGTATCCACTCTTAGGGAAAATCATATCTTCACTCTGAAGTCTGTTTTGAGAAGGAAAAATAAAAAGGAAGAAAAACATGGAAGGAGAGTGGCTAGCTGGAAGACGAAGCGAGAGGAGAGGAGAGGGAAATGCAGGAGAGAATGGGTGGGGGAAGGGGAGGTGAGGGGAGAGGCCCAGTGGACTTCACAGGTTTGCTATTCCCCAAAACGTGTCCATTCCACGAACTCGGGGAGGGAGGAAAACATTTCCATTTACTTTTCTGTCGGCTGGAGTGTAAACAGTGGCTGCAATAATACCAGAAGCTACTGGTCATTTTGAGCGTCCTCGCTAGTAAGGAGCCAGCACACCAGCCAATGTAAAATACTGGCCTCTGGTGCTCCAGATACTTGGTTTGTCAAACGCAGGGATGTCGGCTCTGGATAAAAAGGGATGTATACTGTCTAGTGAGCAGCATGTTGGCTAGACGTCAAATGTGAAACGTGTCTCCCTGTACCCAAGTCCTTTACAGCCAGTGCCACCCCAAAGGATGAGGGTTTTGCCCAAAGCAGACCAAGAAAGAGAGTGGTATTTGAACCCACAATCCAAAACAAACCATGGTTCTGAATTGTCACTTCTATAAATGTTCCTGGTCTGAATCCAAGACGAGTTGGAGCTGGTTGGCCTCTTCCTAAAGAAATTAATTACTTCTCATCTCACGCTCATCAAGGCCCGTCTGAAGGGAACCTAGGCAGCCCCAGGAATACAAATGGTCAAGCTTCCTATTTTATAAACTTGTAAGTAAGGTGTTCTCAGGTACATAAAATGGCATAACTACTCTAACTTAATCACTGGCTTATGGAAAACAGTAGCAGGATACATAAAAAACTGGTAAGGCAAATATTTTGTCCAATGTGGATTTTTTACATGTACCTTCGACATCCAATGAAACCAACTGAGATTCTTCATATTAAGTCAAAAAAAGCTACCGGCAAACATCTGAGACTGAGCAGGTACCACCCCTGACGGAGAGGTAGCATCACTATTGCCTATACCACTCACTATGGTGATACCCACTCTGCCTGGAGGGTCGTGAACTCTACCCCTTGTACCTTTTCTTCCACAACATCACTATGGAATTCTTCATGCAAACAAATAAATAAATAAATCCCTGGAATTTTCCTGTTATTTGGAGGAATTCCCATAATCCGTATGATGAGCAAAATGGAGAGAGACATCAGACGGACAAAAGAAATTCGCACAGCCCAGCTCTTCCCTGTGTATTCCATTTCGATGAGCACTCGCGTCTTCTGTCACTCACAGGAATGCTCTAAGTGTCACTGACAGCCTACCTGGGTAAAATGGGAACGGCGTGTACAGATGTTTAGTGTGTGCAAGTCATCAGAATCCGGCAGTGAACAAGACGTGGCTGGGAGGTGGGGAGGAGTTCAGAAGCCACTTGCAAGAACTCTTTCGAGAGTGAAGCAGAGGTGGGCAATGGGCATGAATCAGTCAAACAGCAATTTCTCTATCCATTCTCTCCGCTGTTATTGAGCAATGTACTGTGGGACTGGAGTTCTTTTCAAAACCTTTGATGGACTTCATGGTTAAGAAGCATTGGTAACATAGTGCTTATTCTTTTATTCAAGTGGAGCAGTTGAACTATCCTAATGGATCTATTCCCCATCCCCCTCTCCAACTTAAAAGGTAGCCTCTACTGAGAAGATATTAAATGTAAAGTCCACATGAGGTGCAAAAAAAGAGGCAAAATGGTCACATGAAATCCACAATGTCCTATTGTATGTGCACACAGACATGGACCATTTGACTTGGTAACTAGCAAATGATAACCAAGGACACTGTGTTTCTTTATACAAATTATCTAGTATTTATTTATACTTAACTAAGTCATTTTTTCCAATAATTGTTTATCAGGGAAATCTTTTCTAAAAATAAATTATACGTGTCATTAACCCTAAACAGAGCTAATAAAAGGTCAAAATAAGTATTACAAGCAGTTCTAAACTTAACCGGCAAAATGATGCCTCATTCTTTTAAGTGATAACACTTAAAAGAGTGAGGCATTATATTCTCTTCCTGAAGTATCGTAGTCTATAAATTTACAAGTAGCACTGAAAGCAATTTGATGATATAAAAATTATACAGTAAATTCGAAATTAGCAACATGAAGCTCAGATACACTAAATAATCCAATAACTATTTCTAGAACCCCTAGCCTTGTTTGTCATTTAGTTTCATGTTAATTGACTTAATAAGACACACGGATTGATGTCATATTAAATTTATTTCTAATCAAGATAATTTAGTTGTCTGATCAATTCATCCCTAGTCTTTTATGAGGAAACAGAGAAAATGCACCTGTTTGACCTAGCTAACTACTGTAATTACACCCCCTAAATCCAACTCTTCACATGGCACACACCTATAAGATAGAACTATCAATTCTCATATTTTGCATATTACAAAATTTGGAATCACATTAAACAATAAAAATAATATAAATTATTTTTAAATACACAACTGCCCCCAAATAGTTCTTCTCAGAACTAACTCTATCTAGAATGGGCAAATATCCAGTTATTTCAAGCAATTCAGAAATACAATAGTAATAATTTAATAATTTAGGCTCAAGTGGATTATTTTCTTGCTTTATCCATTTGAAATGCTTTCATGCTAAAATAGGCAACTAATCTCTATTTTTTTCTATCATACATTATTGTCCCAGACACACAAAACTATTCACAGGTACACAATAAGTATTGTCCATAAGGCTAGAGAAAAAACAGCTAGCATTGGGTCAACATGCTCATGCTTCTTCACATGAAAACAATAACAATATTCCCTCAAACACATATTCATCATCACCTTTGACTGATCCTGGGCCACAAATAAAGAAAGTTTAATTTTGTCCTAATCTTCTAGCTGAACAATCAATGCAAACTCATCCTGACTTTTCAATGAGCTCGTGCTAATCAAAATCTTTAAGATTTTTCTTGGTTTCAGGTTTGATTTCCTTTCAACCACTGCTAATGTTAACAGGTTAAAATCTTGCCCAATAAGCATTACAGATAACATGCTAAAGAAAAAATAATCCCAGCAAAAACACAATAGAAGCGACTGGAACCAAAGTTTAATAAAGACTGCTTCCTTAATTTTAGTAATATTGCTGATTATCACTAGAGGGAAGTTACCTAAGCAACCACTCTGAAGCATGCACAATATTCAAGTACATCTTTGTTTTCGTGGCTCAGTATCTATAAGCGTGTTGCTGATAGCATTGTTATGGAGTGCCTAAAGCTGTCATCCGTTTGTGGCAAAAAAGAAATCTGTTATAAAGATTTATTTATTGGACATATGGCACTATAACATAAATACCCACAAGCAAAATTATAAAAATAACACAAAGTAAAAAATAACTGAGGCTAAGACAAAAACAAACACAACCAGAATCGTTTAGTTAGAAGTAAAACCATTAAACCATCCATACATTCAAACACATTCACTCTGGTCACAGAAGTGCAAAGCAGACTATTTTCATTTCTAATGTTAAACATTTATATTTATCATTATAACCCAAATGCTTAGGGATAGTATAAGGCAAAGCTTCTAAATCATAAAAGAATTATGTGTAACAAATAAAATATGTGGGATGCTCAAATGTTCTGTTATTGCTGAGCACAGATTAAAATCTGTCCAATCAGCCAGGAGAAGTATGAGAACAGAGTTGACTGTCTCTCTACACACTTGAGAACATCAGATCATGCTCAAGTGCCGTCACTGGTGACTTGGAAATCCACTGGGCCAGAAAGTTAATATTTACTTTTTATCTGAGGAAACATTTCAAGAAAGCCAGTTCCCCTTCTTCCAAGAAAGTGAGGACATTTCTTACCTTTCTGTACACCAGCATGTTGGGTGATTCATCCGCCACGCCGTTGCTGGTCTGCCCGTAATTATTCCCTTGGGCCATGTCACCCACGCTGGGTTCGAGCTGGGACACGGGGATTATCAGTCTGCGCTGCAAACGGTTAGAGGGACTCCAGTGAGATCCGCAGGGCAGTGCTCCGGGGGCCTCACTCCCCTGACTGATCCTCACCGTCCACTGCACACACCCACACGGAGCATGCTTACCTGTTGGGGTTGGCTGCACAGAGTGGCACGTGAATAGTTTTGTATTGTTGTTTAACTGAATTTATACCCACAGTACCCCCAGGGAACTGTAAGAAATGACCGTCTTTTATTTAAAGTAGTCATTTGGCTGTGGCTTTCAATTGAATTGATTTTCTGGATTCTCATTTTAAAAAGTGTTTGGTGCTCACCTGCAAAAAAAAAATCTCCGCGGTTCCCAATTCCATACTACAGAGTTTTCTCTCCCAACACCTGCAGGTCCACTTAATCTGTTCCCCAAAGGGCGAAAGGCGCCACCCTGCGCAGACCCCTGGCCCCGGGGGTCTGTAGTTCCCCCGGCGCAGGGTCCGCGGCGCCCTCCCCGGGACAGGTGTGTCCTCTCCACCCCGGGCCCCCACCGCCAGCGAGGCGTCTGCGACTTTCCCGGCTCCGTGCTCTCTGCCCGCTGCGCTCCGGGACGGGAGCGCGCTGCGAAATCCTGCCGAGGAGGCACCGGCTCCATCCCGGCAGCGAGCACCGGTGGGAGTTCAAACCCACCTGCAGGCAATGCCTCGCTCCCCGGGAAGCCGCCCGGGACCTCGGAGCCACCGGCCCGGCAGGAGAAAACAAGCCCAGCGCCTGGCAGCACAAATGGCAGGCGAGCCGGAGCCCGCGGCGCGGCCGCACGAGCCGGGCGGCAGTCTCGGCACCGGGACCGCAGGGCGAGGGCCGGGCGCGGGCGGGGGCCCGGAGCGCTGGGTGGCGCCTGCTCCCCGCCGGCTCCCCCTTTACCTCCGGAGCCAAGGTCACGGCCCCGCCGCGTCTCCCTCCGGGCAGGCACGCGTGCAGGCGGTGTCAGCTGGCGGCGAGCGGGGCAGCGAAGCAGGGCAGCTTCATCACCCTCGGGGAGGCGGAATCCGCGCCGTCCCGGCTCCCGCCGCTCAGGCGACCGCCACCCTCGCCGCCGCCGCGCACAGGCGGCTCCCGCAGCCCGGCTGGCTCGCCGCCGCCTCCGCTCTCCGCCCGGGCGCTGGGACCCGCCGGGCGCGCGCGGAGCCGAGACGCCCGGCCCGTGCGCGCGACGGGGAGGGGGAGGGGGAGGGGGAGGGCGGTCACGTGGGGCGCGGGCGGCCGGAGGTGGCGGCCAGGATGGGCTCCGCGCGGCGCGGCCACACCGCCCTGGCCGCCGGGCCTCCCGGCCGCCCCACCCTCAGGCCCTGGGGAGACCAGCCCGGGGTACGCGCCGCTCAGGGCCTGGAGATCCGAGCTGCACGCCCAGTGTAAGCCGGAAGGGAGGAAGGGCGACGGATGCATGGATGGATGCATGGGAGGATGGATGGATGGATGGATGGATGGATGGATGGGTGGATGGGTGGATGGGTGGATGGGAGGATGGATAGATGCATGGGAGCTTGGATGGATGGAGCCCATGCAGCCAGCAGGCTTCATTCATCACGTGCCTAACTGATCTCCGCTGACACTATGAGGGAAGCAGTTGACCTATTACCGTTACACTTAAATCACCAGAGTGGACAGATAGTGAGACGCCCCCGGAAGGAAGAAATGGCCAGGACCAAATGACTCATCCAGCCCCTTTGTCTGAGGCTTTCAAGGCTTCCTCCCAAGTTGGAAAAATGGAACAAGAATTTATTGGCTGCCAGCAGGAGGTGAAAATCTTGCCACTTGTGAAGCCCAAGGACCATCCCCAATGCCCGGTTTCTCCCTCCTGCTCCAGCCTCCGGCAATTTCCCAAGGGGGCCTGGGGCGCTGATCCCCCAGAAGTATTCTCCAGGTTCCTGTCACTAATTCTTCCGTAAGGATTAGAAGGACAGGAAGGAGAAACGTCAGTTTTGTCCCACTTACAGTAAAGAAGCTTGTGTCTGGCTTTGGGGCAGGGTTGGGAAGCTATGAATATCTGAAGTTTTCCTTCCTAGGCTATGAGGAAGAGAGAGACAGAAGTTAATCAAGCCAGCCCCTTCTTAACTCGGTCTAAACGGAAGAGAACCCACCCCTGGGTGGGACATCTGTTCCACTGAAAAACAGGAGCCCTGACCTGTGCATTTCCCAGCCCCACCCCAGCTTTTCCAGGGTTTACTCAAGGAGCAAATATTTATTCCACCTATCTTCTGTTCTAAATACTAGGGGGAAAACATTACTAAAATATACACCCTAGTCTGATCCATCTCCCACTCTTCCCCAGTTCCCAAAATATTTCCAGTGTGCTCTCTGAACATGATCTTTTTCAGCAAAATTGCCATTTTTTTTTCAACTTCTCTGAATGTTTCCTTCACATTCTTGCTCCAGCTGAAACCTCTCTCTCTTCCCCTTTCTTTCCCTTTGTTCAGTCTACTCCCGGAAAGTTGATGTGAATTGGACTGAGAAAAATGGAAAAAATAACTGGGCCTGCTCACTCAGTTTGATCATTTCCTCTTAAAGAGAAACTGTTGAAGGAAGCGGGCCTTCTTTTCATCTCTAGATAAAGGTTCCTACCCTCAGGGGACCTACCCCAGCTCAGCACTAAGAGATCGTTGTCATCAATAAGCAAACAAATAGAATAAAACCAACTTCATATATTTTTATGCATGGCACATAAAGAAATGCGCTGTTCCATTGGTCCCGTCCATTCATCTAGCCATCACATAGATATGTTATATCTATGTATAGATATACATGTTCATGAAATGTTCTTTGATACACTTCCGACTTCTCACTGCCTTGTTTTACTTGGTGCAAACCAATAACTTTCTTTTACACCAAAAACTGCCTCTCTTCTCATCCGGTCTTGACCCCAGTTCATCTGTCAATGACCTTCGTGTTGCTAAACTAGTGGTCATTTCTCAATTGTCATATGAATTAACTTTTCAGTAGAAGTTCAAGTTTATCCCTCTCACCTTCTGGATAACCTATATCTGGCTACCAGGACACCAGTATTTATTATTTTTCTTCTACATTGCTGGTTGTTCTTTTTCGGCCTCATTGTGTGTTCCTCTTGATCATTTTCACCCCTAAATTTTGGGAGGGCCTCAGATCTCAACCTTTAGGCCTCTTCTTTTCACAATGTATGTGCACTCTCTAAGTGAGCTAATTCAGACTCATACTTTTAAATGATACCTAAATACTAATAACTCTCAAATGTATACCTTTAACCCAGACCCATGCCCTGAAATCCAGTCAGTCAATTGCTTGTCATATCTCTACTTGATATCTAATTGGTATTTGATTCAGTTTCATAATAACAGAGAGACTGTCTATTTAGTTCACAGCTGTGTATCCCAGGCATAGTACAGTTTTTGGCCCACTGTATATGTGAGTTAACTAAATGATGGTGTTTCTAATAACAATCTGAAAAGTATTTTTTATTTTTTGTAACACATTGTTTGCATCATGTCATTTAATCCTTACTAAAACTCTGCAGAGGTGCTTGTCATTTTACCTATTATCGATGTTACCTATTTTACATCGCTATATCAACAGGAAAGGAGAGGACCAGAAAGGTTAGGTAAACTGCCCGGTACAATCCACATAACCAGTAAGTAGCTGTGGTAGTTTGTACTCTGTCAACTTGAATAGCTGGAACTACATTTCCCAGGATCCCCTTCCCTGTGTGCAAGTGAGTAGATTTGGCCAAAGAAGGAATTTGTACAGACTGGGGAGACAGAGTGAACCAGCATGTATTTCTCTCTGAAGTCTTTGTAGTTTGCTGTGGTGAGACAGAATCCCACCAGGTTCTAGCATGTTCTTGCTCTCTCCCACTTCACATGCAGATCTTTATCCGAATCCCCAGCCCTGTTGAGCAACAGGAGAACTGGAAGGTGGACCCAAAGAGGCAGCACCATGCAGAGACGACAGCTGCATGGCTTCTCTACCAGCTGTTCATCAGGGGCCCCTCTAGCACCTGACTGTAAGCTTCAACTTGCTCACCCACTCCTTGGCCTCGTGGGGCGGAGGGGTCTTGTAGTGACTTTTCTCAGATCTTTCAGTTCCCCCTTCTGGAAAATAACTCCCAGCCTCCCTCACGATGGTGTAAGCTCCCGTAGTTATAATACCCTATTCCATTGTACTCAGAGCAGTTCTGCCTCCCTGCCCGAGTGGCTGGTGGAGCTCAAATCTAGACGTTCCTGGTGCGTCCCACTAGTCCACAAGAAATCCAAGGTAGGGAAATAAAACCTTGCAACCAATAACTATGTAAAAGTGCAAAACTGAATGATAGGAAGCATGTGAGCTGACTGAAAGAAAGAGGTTGACATTCACACTGAGCTTGTCAAGGACTGATAGGTTATCTGCATGTGAAATGATGAGGAAAAGTGTTCTAGTATAGGACAGAGGCAGGATACTCGGAAACCCATTAGGTAAATGACAAGGAATAAGACCACCCTTTATTGGATTCCTACTACCTCTAAACACATTCTACATATTGTCACCATTTCGGACAAAATTTACTCCACAAGGTATGTAAAGAAAGCAATGTCAAGTTAGGAAACTTGATTGTGTTCATATACCTTCTAAATATCAGAGCCTGGATTTGAACACACCTCTGTGTGACTCTAAAGCCCTATGAAAAAATTATGCAAAAAAGGCCTCCTAGCAACAATATGAGTTTTGAAATATCCAGGGGTCTCCTACGCAGCTATGTCTCATCCTATTCTCTGTCTCATCTTATATCCCAGCTTTTGTCCCTCCACATACCTAACTCTCACACCTTTCTCTCCAGACAGTTATGACTCAACATTGCTTATGTCGCTCACTATGGCCAGGCAGATACAAAGGGAAAGATTCAAGGAATAGCACATTTCACTCTTTCTTCTACTGCTGTTAGGAAGCCTCATAATTTGTGCTACTGTGTATTGAAACAAAGTTATGTCTATCACCTTAATGTTCTTCCTGGGATAACGTTTTTTCATATATACACTGAATTAGACTAGATCATCTCTCAAAAGCCATCTGGATCTTAGAACACAAGATTTGTATCTGTTCCCTTTTGTGCATTCCTCCTATGCAATGGGACCCTTTACACTGTGAACAGCAAAAGCAGCACAGATAAAGTGCGATGTTTTTGTTTCTTTTTTCCCCCCAAAACGTGTAAATATGTGATTCTCAGCTATCATCATTCAAAATAATTTTTATCATTTTTCTTGCGGACACTACATTTTATGATACTTTTGTCAAACAAATGAAATGGTAAATGTAATAATACATTCATTTCCCATGCCAGACAGAACTTCTGAGTAGCAGTTAAAAACCCTGTTACTTCACCAGAAAAATATAATTCCATCCAAACAATGACATTTCAGCTGTATTGTTGTTAGTTTCAGCGGTCTTATCACCGGAAAAAAGAATTTCACTTCTATTTTTGAAATATTGAAACGAATTGTGTTGGTTTGCTGGTACTCTTGTAAAAATGTATCACAAACTGAGTGGCTTCAACAACAGAAATTTACTGTCTCCCAGGTCTGGAGGCTAGAACCAGGAGTGAGTAGGATGGACCATTCTGAGGGTTCTATAGGAAGAGTCCAGGCCTCTCCTCGGCATGTATGGCCACCTCTGCCTGTGTCTTCATATTATCTTCCATGTCTGTCTCTGTGTCCAAATTTCCTTTTTGTGTAAGGACACCAGCTATGCTGGATCTGGGCGTCAAATTGGATATAATGATGTCATTTCTGCTCATTTACCTCTGTAAAGAACCTACCTTCAATTAAGGTCACACTTTGAGTACTAGGAGTTAGGTCTCCAACATAATCTTTTTTGGGAGGGACACAATTTAACCCATAACGGTAGTGTTCATTTTTGCAAGCCATTAAGGATTTAGGAACCCCAAATTATGAGCTACTGATATAATTTGCTTTTCTCTCCTTTCACTCAACACATAGTTATTGTATGTGTATGTGTGCGTGTGCACGAACCATTCCTTTATTTCTATAAAGAACGTAAGAAATATAATAGGTGACTGTTGCCCTCAAGGAGTTTCCATTCTAGTTCACAAGATAAAATTCCTTTGTTTTTCTCCAACTCACATCTAATCCAATCAACTGATGCTATTGGCTCCACCTACAAAATATATTCAGAATCTGGTCACTTCTCACCAC